TCAGTGTTCATTGAAGACCAACTTTGTGCTGGTCACTTAGTGGACTAAAAGTATTCATAAAGTTATATATATTAGCTAAAGATATGTGAAGTTACAGGGAAGTATTGTTTTTTGAACTCGAGAATACTTTGTTTTTTTCAATTTTGTCACACTGTAAACTTTTTTGACAATGTAATGCAAGTGGCAACACGCGTTCGCAACAACAGCCTTCAGCCCAAGCCCACTGATCTGGGATGTAGGCAGTAAACTTGGCACTGTCTATGAATGAAATGGGGTTATCATTGGCGTTGGGTAACCAACAGAGGCAATACAAGCAATGTGGTCAGAGAGTGACAACATCCCAATGAGCCATCCAGCCATTACAGATTTACAATCATAACATGCTACTTTCTTCAGAGGGTTCTGCAAATGAAATAGGTGTGTTTTGTATATTTATATAACAATAAATTAAATAACATGCATTTAATAAGCCAGATAGAGCACTGGTTTCATTCACACAATATACTAATAAAAGCTGACCTTTTACAATTGTTTAACTTCAAATTCAATGCAATTCTTAGTGAACTTCTGTGACTTTGAATCAATCAATCATACAATCAAATAATCTCTCTCTCTCTCTCTCTCTCTCTCTCTATATATATATATATATATATATATATATATATATATATATATTGTAGCGAAGCCTCCGAACTATGAAATGGGTCGAACTCTTGAGTACCTACTAGTGGGGCTACCCAACAAGGACGCCGCTCGCGCTGAGAGCCCGTGCTTGGCTGTGACTGTCGCCATTTATATTCTCGCTCGTTGCCGGCTAATAAACGCCTTAACAATATATATATATATATATATATATATATATATATATATATATATATATATATATATATTGTAGCGAAGCCTCCGAACTATGAAATGGGTTGAACTCTTGAGTACCTACTAGTGGGGCTACCCAACAAGGACGCCGCTCGCGCTGAGAGCCCGTGCTTGGCTGTGACTGTCGCCATTTTATATTCTCGCTCGTTGCCGGCTAATAAACGCCTTAACATGATATATATATATATATATATATATATATATATATATATATATATATATATATATATATATATATATACACACATATATATATATACCTATCTATGTATCTATCTATCTAGCCACCTACAACCTTGTGCACTCCTTATCATTTCATTAAAGAGATGTACACCCCAAAATTGGTATACATTGATTGGTACACTCGCAGCCATTTCATTATATAGATATATGCCAAACATGATATGGCGGGATATTTTTGTACAAATAACATAAATTAAGGGTGCGGTAATGAGAAAACCATGACATGCATGTCACGAATGGGCTAACATACATGTCACGCTCTTGGTGTGCTTGCGGTTATATTGCTATAGCTTGGTTTATACCAAAATTAATATGACGTGATCATGGGTCAGCAAAACTTATGCAGCTGATTCAGACTGAGGCTCACGGCTTGATCTGAGTTTGATTGAGTCGACTCGTGGGTGAGTTCGTCAACCTATGGACGTGACTGCATGATGAACATAAAGAGCAAATGGTAACATGTAAATTATGACGTACAGTCATGCACCACGTGATTTACATGCCGGGTTCTTGGTGTGCTTGCGGCAATTTCGCTAGCTTAATATACAGCGAAATTTGCATTGCATACCACTGTATGATGACCATAAATGACATTTCCTAACATGCAAATCATAATATCCATGTCTTAATTGTACAGCATGGTTTCCTCCTTCCTGGCTGCTTCGCATTATGCATCGATTCCTATATACTGTACATGGGATCTGCCTTTTCTTTTTTTTTTCAAGAAGAGCATCCTGCTCCTTGAGAGCCAAAGAATGTCATAAAACTAATATAGTCTAGCCTTATGTCGCTGTTGTTTATGTTACAGTAACATGATGCACTGCGAGTGTCAACGAAAGCTACTGTGCATGCTCCTCACAGCAGCCAACCCATGAGTGGGGCCATGTGTATGTCAGGTTGTTAGAATGGCGTGTATGAATTGCTGTGGTAATATATATATAACTATATATATATATATATATATATATATATATGCACCTTCAGCAATGTTTTTCAGTGTTCTGCTATAACAATGCTTCAGAAACAGGCCGGAACTCTGGATTAGTGTCCACCGTGTAAATTTACAGGTGATTTTATGGGCACATTTATAAAGTACATCTAGCTATAGTTTGTAGTATGCTCCATGTAAATTAACTGATATTTTTAATGTGCTGAACCGAATGGCAGCCGGTAATGTGATCTAGAGTCTGCAGTCTACATTTCTTTGGCGGAAAATCTTCGACTGCAGATCCAGCAATTTTCTCTCGTACACTGGGGCCATTTTAGATGCCAAGCATGTTATGGTCGAGTTCAACGCTGTGTGCGGTGTGACCACCCTTGCTGCGCATGCGCGTCCCCTCCCCGTCTCTCTTCTCTCCTACACTCCCCCCTCTCTCGACTCGCACCACCGACGCAAGCAGCATCTGATAGCGAGTTCCTTGATAAAAAAAAAATGACTGCTAGCACTGCACAACCGTTCACTGGCCACCCCGTATTAGGCACTGGATATTGACCTCCAAGGTAGTGCTAGTGATAGATTTCTCTTGTGCGTTGTTGTACAATGAAAATGAGCAGAGTGCGCATTATACTTAGTTAAAAGTGTACTGAGGGTCTCTGCATTTAATAACAGTCTCGTGTCTCTCACCCATTAGCAGTGATTGGCATGTTACCGTAAGAAACACCGGTTCATCACTGCGTGCTTAGCGCCTCGTCCCCAGGTTGATCTCTTGCGCAACGTTGCGACGAGAGCCAGCGTAAACGGCACCACCTGTGTAAGCGTTAGCGCCCGCTGCTTCACACGTATGCGTGGTTCTCTTTAGTGGGAGAGAGTAATTTTTCTTCCACCATCAGTTTCTCTATCGGCGCAGATCGCAGACTGTGCAGCTCGTAAGCAGGAGCCGTACATTAGGAATAAGCCCTGCATGCCTGACCAAATGCATCGCGTACCACGAGATTTTAAATATTTATTCCCCATCTGCAGCAGTTAACCTAAACAGCACTGTGCGCGCAATCAAAGCCACGCCACATCAATCTATTTATATAACTCTAAGACAGCTAAGACATCATGTGCAAAGATGGCACTTGGCTAAGTTACTCAAGGACTCATGCAAATTCAACTTGCATTAGGCCGCTGTGGTAGCTCAGTGGTTAGAGCATCGAACGCGTTATTAAATTCAACTTGTGATCAACCAGCTATAGTTCCCAAAGTGAGCAATTAAAGAAATATAACAGCTATTATCACATCAGGTATTGCCTCTCACTCACATAATGGCCTGCCAAATGTGAGCAGCTTTAATACACCAACAGGTGGGTACGATGAATAAGGCATATATCTTTTGATTGCTGCACATCATTTACTTATAGGCTTTACCGCAATGCGTTCGCAATGCAGTGAAGCTTAATCATCTTTTGGTAATTGTCTTGTCTGTTTGAAAAGGACGCGCCAAGATGCATATTTGGCCTGAGCAGTCGCAAATGCTTATATTTGTTTCATGCACAAGTGGCCTGTGCATGCGTTCATTTCGTATCATGTTCGTATCATGTAATGCTCTTCTGCTCACTCTGGCTTTACCGCAGTGCTTTTGCGATGCAGTGAAGCTTAATCATCTTTTGATAATTGTCTTTTTGTCTCCCTGAAACGGACGTGCCAAGATGCATATTTGGCCTGAGCAGTCGCAAATGCTTATATTTGTTTGATGCACAAGTGGCCTGTGCATGCGTTCATTTCGTATCATGCAATGCTCTTCTGCTCACGCTGGCTTTACCGCAGTGCTTTGCAATGCAGTGAAGCTTGATCATATTTTAGTATTTGTCCTTTTGTTTGCCTGAAACGGACGTGCCAAGATGCATATTTGGCCTGAGCAGTCGCAAATGCTTATATTTGTTTGATACACAAGTGGCCTGTGCATGCGTTCATTTCGTATCATGTAATGCTCTTCTGCTCACGCTGGCTTTACCGCAGTGCTTTGCGATGCAGTGAAGCTTGATCATATTTTAGTATTTGTTCTTTTGTTTGCCTGAAACGGACGTGCCAAGATGCATATTTGGCCTGAGGAGTCACAAATGCTTATATTTGTTTGAGGCACAAGTGGCCTGTGCGTGCGTTCATTTCGTATCATGTAATGCTCTTCTGCTCACGCTGGCTTTACCGCAGTGCTTTCGCGATGCAGTGAAGCTTAATTATCTTTTGGTAATTGTATTTTGTCTCCCTGAAACGGACGTCCCAAGATGCATATTTGGCCTGAGCAGTCGCAAATGCTTATACTTGTTTGATGCACAAGTGGCCTGTGCATGTGTTCATTTCGTATCATGTAATGCTCTTCTGCTCACGCTGGCTTTTTCACAGTGTTTTCACAAGGCAGTGAAGCTTGACCATACTTGCTTTTATGTGTATTGCGACTTATCAAAGTTTTGTAATAGCTCAACTGTTGACGCTAGAAGTGATGCATTCTATGTGAAAGTTTTATACTTAACTTCGGGGATTCATGTTTTTATAAAGTTTTCACAATATATCACTAAGGTCGAGTTGGAAACTATGCATTCTTGGAAAACGGCCATGAACACGACGGAGACACGAGATGAGAAAGACTCAGTACTTCGCCTTTGTCTTGTGGCTCCGTCGTTTTCACGTTCATTTTCAAAGTATCTATCAAAATGCTGACAACGCTGTTTCACTGCCAGCAACCTTTGGCGTGCAAAAAAGGGAGCTAAATTTTATCTCAGCCTGTAAACTAAGCCATTGCGGCTACTTGATGTACGATAAATAAAAGACCAAAATTAAGAATGAGCAGTTGATATTGATAACAGGTGCTCATAGCAGCACTTTTTTTGCTGTGCACTTGAATTCCTGTCTTATGTAATGTTATGGTCTGTGAATACACAATGACACTACTACAACCAAAAAAAATTTTACTAACATTTATTTGTAAAATAACTGCTACAAAATAGAATTCTGATCCCCTTCTCAGTAGTTGCATAATTTAGCTGGAAGAAGACAGCATCATCCAACTTCCTGACGACTTGACAACAGGGTGAGTCCACAATGTACTGGACCTGTACAAGATGAAGAAAACAGATGAAAAAAAAAAACAACAGATAAATCAAAGAGTTTAAAAAATGGCACCTGAAACTTTCAACTTGCCCACCACAGCAGTGAAAAGACTCCTGTTGTCATATGTATTTTCTGCCTGTTGGTCAACGGGCACAAGTCCCAGTCTTGTTTGTTAATAGAAGCTGCTTAGCATCACTTCATTGCAAGACTTTTCTCTATCCGTCACCCGAGAACGCGCTCTGTAGTGGTCAGGCTCCGCCTAGAGACTTGTGGCAGTGTGACGTTAATGTGGGCAATATATACACAGACTTTGGTTGCCTAATTTGTAGCAAACTTATTGTGAGCAAATTTCATAATTGAATTCATAAAATATCTGAATGTAATATAACACCAAAATGCTGAGGCTTTAGAACGTTACAAACTCAGCCTGCCTACATTAACAATCCCAGTGCCACAGGCATGCAAGAACTGCTCGTATAATCATGAATCAACTAAACCATTTTGATATATTGACAGGTTTTCAAAAATGACTATTTTTGAAAATTTGATATTCATATTTTTCTCTTAAAGGGCAAGTTACTGTTGCTGCAAAGAAAAAAAAAAGCAAATCATATACAATATATGATACATTTTTTTGCAGTTTACAGCCGCACATGGTAAAAGGCTGCATGCATGAGTGTTTGTTGTGTGCCATTCATAGTATTATTTCCGAAATCCTTATTCAGTTGACATTTAGCGATCAGCCTATGAATTTTCTTGTTTTTTTATTTTTCATTCCGTGCATTAGATATGAATATATTTTAGTTCAGGAAATTTGCTAAACGAAGGGAAGTTTTTCTACTTTTGGCAAAAAAACAAAACAAAGCAAGAACCAGTTCTAGAACTTTTATGAAAGAGACAGGTTTGAGGTTTGATGTGAAGAGAAGTGAATAAAGAAGAAATGCCACAGAAAGGACTGCCTCAACAAAGGAATTTCGTTCGTCGGGGTAACATACATTTGGCAATTTTTTTATTTACTCCTAGTTAACGCTCCACCACTAACTTACAACAAGAGAGAAAAATAAGGTGGTACATGCAGAAAGTTAACTCATCACATAACGTGAAAATTTGAACCAGAACAAGAGAAAGAACAAAGACGAGTGCTCGCCTCCAACAAGATTTATCTTGAAGAGCAAACATATATACTCTTGAAATGCAAAAAACAGACAAATCATTCAAAAAGCCCACAACTGCCATGCACGAAAACCTTACATCCTCAAGAAAGACAATTCGTTTTGACAAATCCTTAGAGAGAGAGTGAGAGAAAGTACTGATGCAGTTCAGCTCTAGTCTACAAATATTTTTTGCCACGACAATTTCTCTCGTAGTTTTTTTTCCCCAATGATAATAATGTCACACAAAAGTGGTTTGGAGCCACACCTGCTGCAGTGCAAGGTCAAGAAACGATTGCGACCATTCTTGAGGTTACAAGCGTGTTAATTGCAGCACGTGTGGCTGCAAAATGATTTTGCACGACATCATTATTGCTGGAAGAAAAAACAACAAATAAAATGCCAAGAGAAATTATCGAGGCAAAGAGGATTTGTAGACTAGCGCTGAACTGCGTCAGCACTCTGTCTCGGGCTTTGTCAAAACAAATTGTCTTTTTTGAAAATGTAAGATATTTGCGTATGGCAGTTGTGGGCGTCTTGAATGATTTGCCCGATTTTCACATTTCAGGAGTATATATGTGTTTGCTCTTCAAGATAAATCTTCTTGGAAGTGAGCACTCGCGTTTGTTCCTTCTCTTGTCCTGGGTCAAATTTTTTGCTATGTGATCAGTTATGCATTACCAACATGCCTAACTTCATACTTTCGATCCCTGAAGTCAGTCTTTAAAGGGCCACTCACCAGGTCCCATAACAAATTTTAGTTAGACTGTGGAAGTTGTTGTGTATCTAACGGAGAGCATTATACCACAAAAAGTTTTTCAATCGGTTTATTACGAGCTGAGAAAATAGTTTTTTCTTTCTTTAACAGCAGGAAACAAGGATGAAAGGAGGCAAGCTCAAAACCCTTGCCACTCCCCCGTGTAGCCTTCACAAGCCAAATCTCTTTCCTACCCTCTCCAGCATCCAACCAAGAGGTCACATGCACATGACGTGCTCAAACAAGCCCAACCCTCGAGAGCGCGAGCGGTGTTGTTTTGTTGACCAGCATTGTTTTGTGTCTACTGCCTGTTTTTGCGAAATTGTTTGGAAACGCTGGCTTTGATGCGGTTGAAAAGATGATCATAATGAGTGCTCGAATGCACAGGACCATTAATTTCTTTTCCAGGACAGGAGTCTGCTTGATGCAGTAACCGCGGAGACACGAACGCATGCGAAACGCCAGCACATTAGCTCGGCATCTCGTTGCAATTCACGGGGAAAAAAATTAAAAAGACAAACACATTTTCCTATTGCGTCTCAATATGTATTCCAAGTTTTATTAATCTCTTCAAGCAACAAATTACATTAACTATGCATGTCACGTTAAATAATTTCCGCCATGTCACGTGCCACTGTTGGCAGCGTCAGAGCACAGTCGTCTACATAGAGGACCAACGTCACTGCACTGCTGTGTATGTAGGGCGATTCATATGTGCACATCATACCCTCCTTTTCTGGGGGCGCACCCGCAAAAAAAAGGGGGAGAAGCGTTCGTCTTGAAATTTGACCCATTTCCGCGGCACATAGAGTTGCAATGTTTGGCAGACGTGACCATAAACTCCCGATGTACGTATTGCACTTGTCAGCTCAAAATTGTCAAACCCGGTGAGTGGCCCTTTAAAGAAAAGTAAAAATTAGAGGAGGAGACATGAAGAATGGTTAGAAATTTTGCCATATGTCTACACCAAAATGGAATGCTATTATTAATTAGGAGAATGTATCTTTTCCTTGGCAACCAGCAAGCATAATTTAGAACACACGAATACTTTTTTGTCCAAGTTAGCTGCTAAAGAGCCGAGACAAGCTCCGCGAAATCCTCTTGAACAACCTGCGCAAGTAATGTCCAATACTACCCCACTATATTGTGGTTGCTGGCAGACACAATGTAACTTGTAAATACTATCTCTTGGCTGTACGCGAGCAGCCATGGTGTTTATAAGTAGAAAGTCTTCGATCATACCACTCTGTATGCATTGCAGCAAATGTTTGCGTAGCATAACCTGGTTAAGGTTCAAAGTTTCTGGTTTTCTGCCTGACGCTATATAATACATGTTAGCAATTGCAAACAAGCCACAGTCAAGTGTGTTGCACTGGTTTTGTGCCTTCATTGCTTGAAGGGTTAATGTTGGCGATTGTAATTTAAGAACATGACAGATTTGCCTAACAGCATCAGGAGGGGTATCTTGATCAGTTGAATCATATATAAAGACTGTTTTTGTCCGCACCAACATTTGTTACTGTAAGCCAATGATTGGGGTTCTGAACATGCAAGATTTGAACGAAAGGGCCTTTGATTTGAGTGAATTGTAAACATCGGCCCAGTAAGACATCTTGAAAGTCGACACAAGTAGGATATTTTTTCTCAATTAAATACTGTGCGACATTGATTACGCTATCTGATATGGAGGTGCCCTGTACCAGAACATTTAAATCTGCATCCGAAAGAGGATACCGTTTGTAGACATTTAACATGTCTACTTTAACCGTCGCAAGGCCTACCTTTTTTACTTGATTTGGGAAAAATTTACGCTTGACAGCTCTCACTTTTTTTGGCCGCCCCCTTCTTGCTTTAACCAAAGGTACCACAAGTTTTGTACTGTTAGAATGCCCAAGATAACTTGTGGCAGTAGTTTGTGCTAACGAAGCTGGTGCAGCCTTTATGGCTGCTGAAGTTTGGTTACGAGAAAATGTGGTTAAATTTCTGAAGAAAGCCTCGCAGGACGAAAGTTTTTCCATTAACTCCTTCTCACCACAATTAGATAATACGTTAGCCCCGGTTTTTGACATTTCGCAAAGACTCCTATAAGCATAAGTATACTTCTTTTGTGCAGTGTCAAGCTTCACACAGGATGGTGACTGAATGCTGCTTGTTACCACTGGTGTGGCACTAGTGGTTGTGCAGCTGTCACTCAGCAAATGATCCTTGCACCACCTGTCTGGTATGCAAGCCTTGTCGAAAAGATCTTGCTTAGTAAAGTCACGCACTGCTAAAATATGTGCACAAGGCAGAGTGTACTGGTTATAAAAAGCACATGTGCAAGAAGTCAAGCACAATGAAACACTGTACTGTGATCTTGGTGACACTACAACATAAGAATTAGAAGTGGAAGTGACTTGATAACTTACATTTTTAAACTTCTCATACTGCTCTAGTACTTTACTTGTAGCCTCAGAAGTGCAATTACGGGACAATTCTCGCTGAAATGGGTCATTGAAATCATTTATGTTTAGGTTCAGCTTCATTTCTTTAAGCTTAGAGAACTGTAGAGATAAAGATTATCAATGTAACCTACCAATGCTTCTATTGCTTGAACCAAATGCATGCTTGAAGAGAGATAATTTTTAATCTTTTGATTGTGGCACTCAATGCGATTATTAGTATTATTACCAAATGTAGTAAGGGCTTGCCGATATGCATGTACCCACATTTCTTACACAAGTGCCAGTTATACATATAGTAAGAAATGAAATCTGTGCAAGTCATAGCTTGGAGGTCAGCAAGCTTATCGAAGTAGTCTTGCTCAGCGGGGGAATAAACTAAGCTTTTTAAGAGAGGAAGCAACTTATCACGTTACTGTCTAGCTTTTTCATTAACCTTTTGCTGGAAACAATGGAACACATGCCACGTACACAAAAGTATGTTAGAATTAGGAAGATTAATGGTTAAAATGCGCAGTTCATTGAGATCTCTATCAATTATCAGTGCTTTGCAAGCAGACACAACTAATGGGTTGAAATCTACAAACTTTGTGAACATGGGCTCAACGATTTCAGTCGTCTCATTTCGTAAGAAGGCATAACACACAGGTCTCCAACGACCACGACCATCTTGAGCTAATACAGAGTAAAGAATATAACCCTCAATATTCACTTTATACGTTCCATCAATAAATAGAATCTCTGGATACTTTTCCAAAATCTCACGCATGTGCGTTGCTTGAAGAAGTATGAATTGCAGGTTATTATTTTGATTCATTTCATAGTGAATAACCCCGTTTGGATTATTTTTTAACAAGGTCTCTACCTGCTCTAAAACCATTTCGCCATGAGCCTGCTCATTGCGGATAGGAATAGAAAATCGTTGCTTGTAATTATTAATGTCCTTTGTAGTTAACTTCTTACCAGTTTTCTGCTCGACCAAGTTTTTAAAATCCTTTGCGCCAATATTACATTTAGCTAAGTCAAAGAATTCTTCTTTTTCTCCACAACTCAGGAACCTCTTCTGAGGATACAAATCATAATATTCTGTGGGATGGTTATGCTTAGCTTGTAGTTTAGTTATTTTGTAGTGCAGAGTAGGCGATTTACATAGGCTTACCGATACTGTCATTTCACAGCCAGTACCATTGTAAGCTTGCTTTGGTCGCTTTCCTATCACCCGGGGCTTTATTGTGCGACCGTGAATGCAGCTATATTTAACCCTAATATACTCGAAGTCCTTATCTTCTGATGCGAATGGACTTTTATTACTCTTATTTATCATGACTACGTGCCTGCCCTCCCTGTACCACTCATCAAAGCTTTTCTTAAAGGAAGGAAAGTTATCAAATGTTGCATTTAAATAAACTTTGCTACCCCCACCATATAGTGTATTTACTGGGTTATTGAGGACAGTTGGGTTGGCACCAGTGTTTACACAAATAGCCTGGGCACCAGGGCTGGCAGGCCTGCTTCTGGATGTCAAAGCCGCCTCACAATACTTGTACTGCACAGCTGCAGTGCACCCAGCTTCCATAGAGTCACCAGCCTCTGTGCCAGGATCGCGCTCAATTCGCATGCAATCCCGAGTCAGTGCTGGTGGATGGCTTTTGCAGACAGAAACCTCGTTCACAGCGTCATTCGTGACAGATTCACAGTGAGTCGCGAAACTAACTGAGCAGTCTTTCAACTGCTTACTAGGAACACGCTGCACCTTTTTAAAGCTATCACGAATGACGTTGTACGAGACACTGGCTCGTTCTTCAGGCTCTCTACCACAGACAGCGGAAGAAGCAGACTGAATCTGTTTCTGGCTCACTACTGCTGTCATAGGTGAAGTGGACCTGATAGACTTGGCAGCTGTCAGAGCAAGAACTTTGCCTTCACTATCTGCACACAGTTTAGAGCTCTGTTCTTGCTTGTGCAGTGCCGCAGCCTTCCGCCGGCTCTTCTTTGACTGCACCAGTTTCCACTCACTGTCGCCACACTGACCGACAGCCTGTGGCACAGCCGCTTTTCCAGCACTGGCCTCCTCTTCCCCCACAGAAGAGCGCACAAGAGCACTCTCATGCTCCTGTGAGGCTCTCCTTATTTTCCTGTCACAAGTGGTGCTTGCACCTCGACTAGGGATCATCGGCTGAACAGGCCTCTCCCCAGTGTTTCCCTCGTATGGTACACTTGTGCCATGGAAAATGGGGAAGGCAGGCTGTCCCAGGTCCACCAAGCCTTGCTTCCCTTGCAGCGAAGGCGGACACCGCCAACGAGCGTAAAGCCAATACCATGAATGGTACTGGCCAGTTGGTCAGTGTCGTGTCTCTGCATGAGAGCACTGCTGGTTTTTCAGACAGGAGCTGGTGCAGTGGAAGGTCCACCTACTGCTGGAGAATATTGAACTGCATGCATACCAAGTGCAGGAAAATCGACTTCCAAGTTGATGGCAAAGTACTCCTGCCGAGCCCACCCACTCCGTGCAGATGCCTTGGACTCCTTGTAGGACTGTTGGATGCGTCTCCTCTCTAGGTGGGTGGACAAGGCACAGGCCTCCCAGTGCAGGAAGTCTGCCAGCACCTTGTTGCCAAGCCGGCTGGGGTGGACACCATCCCTGCTCAGGAATCCAGGCCAGCTGTCCACGAGACTATCCAGGATAGTGAAGCTCTTCTCCAGGCAAAGCTGTGCGAGTGTGGCATTCACATTCTTGTAGTGGTCATTCAAATGACAAACATCAGACAACTGTTCCCCTTTGCGGTACTACTGATTCTGCCCCCGAGGAAGAATGGCAGAAAAAGCTACATGCAACGTGGAATTGCTTTCGATGATTTTCTGAGCGAGCTGGCGATATTTGTTCATGCACATGTTGACACTGTCAACAGTGTTGTTCATGCCAACATGTACAATGACAACATCAAAACTGGCCAGCTTGTCAGCAATCATTGAGAGTAAGTGCTCAATTCTTATTCCTCTGGGTGCGGCAACGCTAACAGACAAGCCAGGGCGCGATGGGAAATACTGGTCCACGTATTTCACCATCGAATCGCCAGCTAATAACACACGCGTCATGTTGCGCACACTTTCAATTCAGAATTACACCATGAAAAAAAAAAAAAACAAGAAAGTGAATATTTAATCTAAAACACGGCTGTCAATTACGCAAATGCACTACGACACAGATACGAAGCACGTTAACATGGATGACCAAAGTAAGGGCCGCGTACAGATGCTGCTAAATGAGCCTATACGCTAAAAATCGCAAAAATACGTATTGGGATGGATATAAACAACGTTAGTAAATATAAAATAGCAGTAAAAATGAGCGGTTGAGCTTAGATGAAGATGATGTTCGAGGCTTGCGAATATGTAGCAGAACAAGGCCTGTAGACAGCTCGCAGAAGCAGCAACCAACCGTACTCTAGCCGCAGCAGCAGCAAGTGAGCGTCTGCTGAGCAGCTGAGTCACGTTCCGATTCAGTAAATTCGAACAACGCGCTAAATCAAAAACGGCGTATGTCGTGATGATTTTTGTGACGTCACTTCCGTGCGGCGCAGGAGCCGTTTTTGTATGGGGTGGCTCGTGCGCCGCGCAGCAGTCCCCTATGTGCATTTACTGTAATCATTGCAACGATCAGTCATTTTTTATTACATTGTCGCCGTTTCGATTTATTCAGGCAAAGCATACTAGCACCACCTCTTCAAAGACTGGGCTTGCAATTATCACAACCTGATCTTTCATTTGGAGCCTCTACACTGGGTTTCAGCCACAGGGATGTTTTATTCGCCGTTCAGGCATACATCACTGCGACTAAACGATTTTCTTGCTAAATTACGGTCTCACTATTTTTCTTCATTTTATTTTCTGCACACTTGATATCGGCATTTCAAATCAAAATTAAGTTACAAAAGTTTTGTAGAAATGACGCAATGCTGAAAGTATGGGGCAAATTCACCTTATAATCGGCCAATCCCCTCCTTTGGGTACGAGCCATTTGCACAGGGAAAAAAACAACAACAACGACATTCCCGCGAATTGTTTGAGCGAACTTAAGTATTCCCACAGCGTATCCCTTTATTCGTGTTATAGCTGTTTTTGATTTTATTCCCCTCACCTACGTGCTATGTTCAGTTTAACGCTGACCAGCCTCGGCTATACCATTTTCGACAGGCCTTCTGGAAGCATCAAAAGCAGGCTCAGTTGAATTACAACCAAAGTTCTCATCCGAGAACGAGGAAATACTCACCCAAACCAAGTGCCGGACACAAAAGCAAATCTGTGAACGATGCGAAGGCGGAATTTGAGGACGCGCGGAAGCACAGATCACCAATACACTGGCGCGGAAGTGCGCTAGCTGGCGCCATCAGTGAAGTAATGAAATCCAAGCACAAAGCCACAATTATGGGTAATATGCGCTCTAGCGTCTCGTGCTCGTTTAGTATAACTGATGTTCGTTGGGGTAGCTTGGTTAGTTTATTTCCTTTCCTTCCTCCGTGGTTTATTAAGCGCAACAAATTAATAAGGATAGATGGGTAGATGGATGTGGCTGTACCCTTTAGATTGGGCGGCGGCTAGCGCCACCTAGCCGTAATATTTAGTGAACTAATCATTAGATTTATCTTTTTTCCCCCTTTAAATAGTGAGGTTGAGGATTCGTACTTTGCAGTGAAGGGTTTAATTTTCACTCGTGCCTTCAGTTTAGCCACCAATCAGATAACCTCCTTCTAGTTAAGTCTACCCGCTTAAAGTCTATTTTGCCCTCCTTGTGCCTAAACACCAGTGCTTTGAAAAACTCTGCGCCATCATCCTGAACTATAGGGTGAAGCCCTTTACACAACATTATCAAGTGTTCGGCAGTTTCTTCTTCCTCTCCACACGCACTGCATACTGTGTCTACCCCTTCGTATTTCGCCCGATATGTCTTGGTTCGCAATACTCCCATCCTGGCCTCAAACAGTAGAGAACTACCCCGAGTATTATCATAGATCCTTTCCTTGGCAATTTTCTGCTTGAAAGGTCGATAGATCTCTAGTGCGGACTTCTTAATAGTGCCAATTCTCTACAAGTCAGTCTCCGTTTCCTTCACTTTTTTCTTAACTGATAGTTCTCTTTGGTTTGGCCAGCTGCTGTTTTCTAAGTATTTACCAGCCAATTTTCTGGTTCGCTTCCTCTATTTTGTATCAACCTTTTTCATGTACAAGTAGCTGAAAACCTTCCTAGCCCAACGCTCCTCCCCCATTTCTCTCAATCGCTTCTGAAATTTTATCTTGCTGCTAGCTTCCCTGCCCTCAAATAATGTACATCCCATATCACCTTGTGATCCCTGATTTGGTATATTCCCGTGAGCTCCTAAAGCAAGCTTACTATTCTACGTTGCTTAATTTCTAATCTTGCTTGAACTTCTGATCTCATGCACAAGACCGCATTGCCGAACGTCAGCCAAGGAGGTTTAAAAAAAACTTAAAAATTAAACCTCCTTGACGTCAGCCCAGGAACCATGACCTCTTTCTATATTCTTCTCCATAAGGATGGATGGGTGGATGGATGTAAGTGGCTGTACCCTTTAGATCGGGTGGCGGCTAACGCTATCTAGCCGTAATACTTAGTGAACTAACCATTAGATTGATCTTTTTTTTCCCCCTTTAAATAGTAAAGTTGGACAGGTACTTTGCAATGAGGGGCTTAATTTTCACTCGTGCCTTGACTTTAGCCACCAATCAGATAACCTCCTTCTAGTTAAGTCTACCCCAACGTTTTTAGATACTTGGTCTACCCGCTTAAAGTCTATTTGCCCTCCCTGTTCAGGATGGATGGATGGTTATGGCTGTACCCTTTAGATCGGGCGGTGGCTAGCGCCACCAAGCCGTGATACCAGATAGCCATTGACAGGCGACACCTGGCGGCGACATCAATAAGCGGCTCCGAGCATCCCAGTGGGACTGCGGACTGCGGTCCTTTCGGATTTTGGAGTTTTTTTTTTAATCGCTTCGATCGTAGTAACGATGTGTGGACGAGGAATGTGACCTCAGGCACGAAAAGGAAGGATGGAGTTGTCGCGCTGTAGGATCAGGCGCACCGGATGCAATGCCCTGAGAAGCTGTTAGTACCACGCTTTTCTCGTCGCTCGCGTGCGCTGCACGCCCAACCAAGGTCGCATTGCGTATGTCTCTTATCTCGCGCGAGTAGTGGGCCTCCCATTCCGGCCGCTGTCAAAAGCGCGCCGTCGTTACGGTTGGCGTGCTTGGAACAATCGGTGTGCACGATGCTTCTCACGGTGGCCGGAGATCTCGGTGATCCGCACGGAGTTATATATATAAGTAGCGGAGACGATGGATAGCATCTCGGGTGGGATGGGCTGCTCGCTCGACTCCATTGAAGCAGCGGCGGATTCGAGAACGATGTACTACGTACGCCGCCGTCACACGCGATGCGCGGCCCAAATATATCTGGGTCTAGCTGAGTGATTGTGAAAGAACTATAGTGCTCGCGCGGACCGCATCGTTTCTCCAGTCGACTCTTTCCGTACGCTTTGCGATAGCGTGTCACCTTTGCATACACGCTTTGACTCCGGAGCGGTGCTTAACTCGTGCGTATACACAGATCGATTTTTTTTCCCGATTTTCGCTCAGGTTTCTACTGCACCGTGGGCCTCATCTGGGCGGACGGTGACTGCGTTTTCATCACACCGTTGCAGCCGCCCAAGAATTCTTCGACCAGCCATCACCAAGTCCACTTCTGCCGACATCAGGTGCTCGGCTTGTTCAGGTGAGTCTGCCGACCACCTGAACGGACGCGAGACGAATAAGACCGTCCTCTATTCACACTGCTCGTATCTCGATCGCCGCGCGTGCTCGTTTTTTTGAATAATTTATGGGCCAGTTTTTGGTCCCTCAAGCCTCAGCAATTTTACGTCTCTTTCTTGTGTGTACCGATCGATATCTGAAATCGCATATCGATGACCGTTCGTGCGCGGACTTGCATATACCCGCAGGTTGTCGGGTATGGCTGAAACAGCCGACGTGAACGAAAAACAGTGCACGCTTCCTTCTCCGCGCGTGCATGCCGATGCCCGACTGAAGCAGTTGTGCGTCACGTATCCCGCCACGGCGGCTTTGCGGCAAGCGGGCTCAGCCACAGCACGACGTCGCGTGCAGTGAAGTATGCTTTAGGTTTCCAACGATCGCGAAACTTTGATAAACCGTGCCGCAGCGAGCGTTTCAGTTACTAGGCCTAAGCTGCGCTCTTTCACAAATTCCTTCGCTCTTTCACAAGTGCGAAGGAATTTAGATTCTTGAAATGTCCGTTCTCATGTGTATCTACACTCACTGAGCGCGAAAGGCGTCCCTTTCGTTGTTCGTCTTCTAATTAGGTGGCACCTCGCGAGATTGCCTAAGGCGTACCTGCTAATTGGCAGAATGTTTGCAATGCCTTCTTTTTCTTTTTTTCATTACTTATTAGTTGTAAAAAAAAGGAAGTGCCGTTGACCCTCCTTTAAATATGGCATCAGGTTTGTGATCCAGACTATCGATAAATTGAAGTAATTATTACTGAAAAGATTAATCTGGTCAATATCAGATTGGACAACAGCAGCGGGAAATTACCCACCTAAAGTTTTTTATGTTTTATAAGTGAAATTCTGTGTATGAAGGAAGCGCGACTAGCCAGCGAAATTCGTGGCAAACGAGTGCCAACTAATCCTTGAAAAAAAAAATACAAAGTTTTGGTTTCACTTCGGGGGGAACAAAGCTCCTGTTTAGTGGGAACTTGAAACTTCTTTTTGTTTTCATTAGTCGACGCTCGTTATTTTCCGCCACATTTCTTATGAACACATGGGTCATTTCACGTCTACTGTCTCAACTGTGGCACTCGCCAAAAAACTGTTTCTGTCAAGTACTTTGAGAAAATTACATAGCTATTGATTAGTTTTAAAGTCTTTTTCTAAAATATTTTGAGCAGCAAGAATTTTTTGGGGCCCGTGAATATTATTAAAAATTCATGAAATGGTGGAAAACCTGGTACTAAAAAAAATTCTCCATAAATCAACCATTGCACGCATTCTTTCAACACTTGTTTTCTTGTGTTGCTGGAGCATTGTGCTTTTATTATTGAACAGTTCCTTATGATACCTTCCAAGTTTTCAATCTTTAGTGTGCACACTAAATTGAGTAAATTGTAGTGTTTTCTAGAATTTTCCTACAAAATATGATTGTCAATAAGGTGTATAAATTACTTCTATCAAACCCTTCATAAAACATAGTATCTACAAATACTTTTGTTTTGCCTGACTGCAGCACATAGGTTCTAAAATAAAATCCTGAACTTGACAAAAACACCACTTTGGTCTATATTGGGACATCTGTAGCACACTTAGGTAGTAAGAGAAAAAAAACTGGAGAAAAGCGCATATGTTTGAGAATCATAGCGTTCCCAGAAAGTTTACTCAAAGTAAGTTTGGTTTGAGAAAAGAAAAAAGTTTGGAAGAGTTTAGTCTCACATCTGCATTGTTTTGCTATGGGGGCCATACGAGCCAACTGAATCTGCAAAATCATAACACGATTCATTATTGGGAGCATGTAGGCATATATACAATCCATTTGTGCCAATGAAAGGAATATTTAGGGCTTGTTTGTTTGGCACAACTCTAATGAACACCAGCAAATAGTGTAGCCAAGATAGTTATAGTGGATGTTAATTGTATAGTATCGTTATACACTCAGAACCCAGCCTTAGCCCGCGTTGTAGGGTTCCACTTTGCCAAACAAAGCTTTAGTTTCACACCCAGTGCCTCATTTTCGTGATGCATACTCATCTTTCTAAGAAAACCAAAGTATTTTACGACCTTCGGTTGCAGGTTTGGTCCCTGGTGCGTTATCCTTTGATGCGCATTCTTTCGATATCGTAATTATTACGATACACTTGAAGCAGTGAAATCAGCAGTAGCATTATATCTTCCTTGGTTTGACTGGTGTTTCTACATGTCCCACCTGGCCAAGCAGAGCTTTCATTTATTTATTACATACTGCAGTCCGTAGACCAAGCAGGAGGGGCACAAAAAGGGAGCATAGCGAAAAAAGCGAACAAGTTATACAGCAAGTTAGAATACACAAAGCTACTGAAATACAAGTCATACTAAATAGGATGCTTAGTTATACATATCTAGAAAAAAAAGCGAACAAACTTCTAGAAACAGTTTCAAGCACAAAAAGTGAAGCTACACAGTTGAAATAATAAGATGAGGTAATCTAGCATTGAAATATCAACAGTGTTGATTACACAAAAAGATGCATGTAGTTTTCAAAGTCGGGAATGCCACGTTCAGGAAAAACATTTGAAGGCAGCGCATTCCATTCGCTAATGGTTCTCGGAAAGAAGGAATGTTTGAAAAGGTTAGTACGTGCAAAGTAAGGTGTCAGATCATGATTGTGAGCATGCCTGGTTTTCCTGGAAGAAGAGGGAGAGATGTATTTACTGGGATCAATATTAAACTGATGATTACGAAGCAGGAAAAGAAACTTGAGTCGGGCGATAGTTCTACGCTGTTTCAAGAGCGGAATGTTGTTAGTAGCCATAAGTGATGAAGGAGAATCAAGATTGTGATAGGCATTATAGATGAATCTTACCGCTCTCCTCTGGACCATTTCAAGTTTATAAACGTCCTTTTTAAAGTACGGGTCCCAGGCTACGCATGCGTACTCTAGACGGGGTCGAATAAATGTATTATATGCAAGAAGTTTGATCTGAGTTGGCGCGTTTTTTAGTTTGTGTCTAAGAAACCCTAGTTTTTTAGAGGCGGAGGAACAAGCGTCGTCAATGTGGTTACTCCACGACAGTCGATTGGTAATATTGACTCCCAAGTATTTAAAATTACTCACTTCGATCAACGGATTATTATTTAAGGTGTAGCGTGATGCAAAAGGGGTAATTTTATTTGAGATACGCATATAGACCGATTTACTAATGTTTACCTCCATCGACCAGGCATGGCACCAATCGCAGAGAGAATTTAGGTTGTTCTGCAAGCATTCTTGGTCTCTTTCACTTTTAATTGGCTTGTAAAGAATGCAGTCATCTGCAAAAAGCTTTAAGCTTATGGCGGAGGTGTCAACTGATGAAACGATGTCATTGATAAAGATGAGAAACAAGACAGGGCCAAGGACACTGCCTCGTGGAACTCCCGAGGTTACAGGTAGAACCCCAGAGCAGCAGCCCTCGACCTGGACAAACTGTTTGCGGCTGGTAAGGTAGGAGCGGATCCAATTAATTACAGTAATGGGTAGGCCAATGTTTGAAAGTTTGGTGAGTAATTTACTGTGGCAAACACAGTCGAAAGCTTTTCTAAAATCTAAGAAGATGGCGTCTATTTGGTCGCCCTTATCAATTGCCATAGCGAAGTCGTGAATTGTGGTGACAAGTTGAGTGTTAGTCGAGAGGCCCTTCCTAAAACCATGCTGGAAAGGAGTCAAAATACTGTTTTCTTCAAGGAATGACATTATGTAATGCGCGATGATATGCTCAAGAAGTTTACAAGGACAGGAAGTTAATGAAATTGGCCGGTAGTTTTCAACATTTAGGCGATCACCTTTTTTAAATACCGGAATAACGCGTGCCGTTCGCCAATCATCGGGAAGAATTGAATTATGAAGCGAAAGACGAAAAATATGGGTGAAGACATGCGTGATAGGTTCGGCGTAACGTTGCAAAAATGCATTAGGTATGCCGTCGGGATCATCGGAAGATTTAGTCTTAACATTCAGTAACAGTGAAAGGACACCTTCAACAGTTATGAAATCGGCAGATATAGTAGACAGAGAAATAATGTTTGTGTTAGCATGATCTCCCTGAGTGAATACTGAGTGAAAATACTGATTGAATTGGTTTGCAATTTTGACTGGATCGTTAACAATACAACCATTTACTGATATCTCGGTTGGTGTTTTGTGCGCATCGCTCAAGTACCGCCAGAATCTATCCGGGTTAGTTTTCAAAAAGTTAGGAAGCGAGTGGTTGAAGTATCTTGCCTTAGCTTCGCTTAGCCGAGTTGCAAGCTGGGCCTTCAACGAGATAAGTCTGCAGGGTATTTTTTTCTTTTTTCTAGCTCGTTTTAGCTTGCGGTGCAAATGTATAATATCTCTAGTAATCCATGGGTTATTTCGGTTTTTCCTAACCCGTTTGCTTGGCACAAACTTATCAGTGCAGTAATGTATCGCAGTTTTTATTTGGTTCCAGGCTATCGACACATCATCAGAAAGATTATCACATAAGAACCACAGATAATCCAAAATGGCCTGGTCATCCGCCTTCGAGTAATCCTTAATGACATGTCTGGTCTCTTGTCGGTGTGCTTTGTTTTCACCAATACCGAAGGATAAAAATACTGCTTTATGGTCGGAAATGCCATCTTCAATAGAGACCGTGTATTTGCATACATTAGAATTTAAAAAGACTAGGTCGAGTGTAGAACGGGTGTTTCCAGCCTCTCTGGTGCACTCATTAACAATCTGCACAAGATCGCACATCAAGGCAATGTCAGCGAGAGGGTTTAACGTCGTTACATCAGAGCCAGAGTATGGAACGCGCCAGTCAACATTGGGCAAGTTAAAATCACCTGCGAGAATCAGACGATCATTTTTAAACGTGAACATGTGGTCATATAGTCTAGACAGATATTCGTGTGTTGAAGAGGGTGGTCTGTAGATGGCACATACGGTGAAGTAATGGCCCCAGCAGCTTACCTTAAGGAATAAACTTTCGTGCTCATGAATTTG